TTGGGACAAGGACACCATCTGCAGTTCTCAGTCTCATAAAAGCTGTCCTAATGAACAAATTAATTTTTATATATTGTAAGTGTCTAATCCTAATATTTATTTAGGACCAAGCCCTGCTGAAGGCAAATACGTTTAGGAAATGCACATTTCTTAAACAAAAAGATATTCAAAAGAAAGAATCGTAAATACCGTATTTTATTATCCTGAAAAAATTATTATCAATTATTATTTTTAATCTTCAGATAGGTTCATTGAAGGGACAAAGACATAAAACCCCAAGAAGATACCTGCTAAATTAGACCAAAACTTATCAAGTCTAGAATTCTTTTCTCATAATGGGCAGCCAGACTGCAAGACTGCAAGAAAGATGTGAGCATAACAGCACCCTTCCAATAATTTCCCCAACAACTGGTGTTCAGACGCTTCTTCTTGTGACTTATATACAGCCCATAGTGCTAAAGCACACTCTAGGCAATTTAGAACGTAATTATGCAAGGAACACTTTGGCCACCCCTACCCCTAGTGAGCTGGGTACCCATTTTATTGATCTCAGAAGGGCAGAAGATTGAATCATTTTTGAGCTGGATACCTGAACCATTTCGGACAAAACTCAGGTCATGAGTAGAAGCTTGACTGCAGTCCTGCAGTTTAACAACTGCTCCATGGGGCTTTTTTTAAAGCAAGCAGAAACTTGATAAGAGCTGTTTGATAGTGAAATAGATGATAGGGTTCTGGACTTTCCTTTCTCAGAAATTTTCAACCAGAGGTTGGATGGCCATCTATCAGGGATGCTGTACTGTCAGTGTTTGGATTAAATTAATTCTCTTCCAATGGCACAATTCTATTATTCATTCCATGATTCTTATTGGATTTTAAAGCCTATTATTTAAGGGGTATGCACATAAGCAACTATCTGCTCTTAGGATCAGTGCACAAAGGTCAGTGAGTCCAATATGCACAATTTCGCTACCTTCTTCACAAATTATCTCAGTACACAGATGGGTCTTTTGCTAACATCTGTGCCTTATGATCACATAGTAAAGGGTGGAAAACCTCACCTAAAGTACAATGAGAGATCTGGAGAAAATAAGTCATATGATATTCTTCATAAATTTATCCACTCGATTTTTATTCTTTTTGAATTCTCAGCTTCCATAACTGCTTCTGGGAAACTACTGATGAGTTTTGTAATTCAAATTGTGAAACATACGTCTTCTAATTTCTAGACTGAAAAGAACAAAGACTAACATTCTAACCTCTTGCATTGACATATTTTCATTTTTTATTGTTATCTTCAATGTACTCATAGAATGTGATCATATTCCCCTGTAATTTTTAAGGTTTCTGTTGTTTTCTTTTCTTTTTTTCCCTGAGCTTCACACAGTGAAACTTATTTCAATTAATTACTTTTGTTCAGAATCCAAATCACATAGGTTTCCTTTGGTTTGCAGACTATTTTTTTAGTGTTTTGCTGCTGAAAATTTACATCAGGATACTGAACATATTGTAGAAAACAACAGCAGATAAGCATTTTCATACTGCAGAAAACAACAGCAGATAATGCATTTTCTTTTATTCTTTTATGGGCTTTCACTCATAATGTTTTCCCCTCCCACACAATAATCTTGAACAGGAGAGGACTGAGGTCACCACTATCTTCCCTTTAAGTTATAAGGTTAATATAATGCCAACAATTCACCAAAGGCTCCAGGTATTTGTAAGCCCAAATACACTGAATTAAACATGTTATAGATCCTTAGAATAACAGTCGGCAAAATGGGATCTGAAAATGTAGCTGTTAAGAAAACACTGGCTGAGGAGATCAGATAAATCTGCATGTTAGCTTGTCAGAGTGGCACAGCTGTCCATCTCTCTCCATGACACATTCATAATTAGCACCTTGCCTCAGGGGATTGTGAATTTTATATAATTCTCCTGTGGCAGTCAGTGACCCGTCCTAAGCAGGGTTGATTGGTGTTATTAGATAACATCTGTGTGAAAACATATTACTGTGAGCTGTGATGAAATCTTGTTCCCTTCAGCAGGGTTGATAACAGCAGTTATAAGCCTCTTCCTTAACAATACAATGGAAAGCAAACTGGTAAAGGCCTGATCATATGAGCTTCTGAAGCTATAGTGTATTACTGTTTCTATGTCACAGGTGACAATAAAACCAAGTGACAGGACTGTTGCAATACTGTAGTTCTCCAAGGTAAATAATCTCAGCTCTGTGTCAAAAACTATGTGTGGAACAGAGAAGAAAGTGATGGATTAAGGCCCTTGCCTTGTATTATTTTAGCAGCCTTGGTTCTGCTGTTGCTGCTTGTTGGCGTTTGCCAGCCAACACTTAGAATGAAGAAACCATGCGGGACAATGATGGGATTACTCTCCACACCAACTCTCTTAGAAGCCTCAAGAAGAGAAATAATCATTTCATCCCTCTCTTCTATATGGTTTCTTTGTGGCCGTATGTCAAGGTGAACTGGTGATTCCTGAGTGGAGCAGGGTATTTCAGTTTGCCTTAAACAGTAGGTCTGTAGAAACTGATGCTATTTTATAGAAAAGCTGCCGCTATACATTACTTTTTGTTGTATCTGAAGATTTTCAGATAGAGAAAGGAAAGTGCAGTTGTTTATTTACTGTAATTTAGCAAAGCTGCCCCTTCGGCAAAGTGCTCATACAAGCACCACTTACAGAATGTCCAAGCACACTTAGACCATATTCATGGGGGCAAATGCATAAATTAGGCCTTATTTGTGTAATTGGTTTAGAAATCTAAACAGAAGCTACATGTGTTAAATCAATATTTTAAAAAATCACAGAGAATGCATTTGAGTTCCATTCTGAAGAAAAACAGAGTTGTACTACACTGTGTAATATAGAATGGGAAGTGGCAGCTACATGCCCATGCTTCCTCCAAAGATCATTACAATTTTTTTTTAAAAAAAATCACAGCTTCAGCAGGTTTATTAAGTGTATATTAAATTTTCCAAAATGAAAATTTATTTCTTCATTTCCTATCTTCATGGAAAATAAATGCAATACTTTTGGCAAATCTGAATTACACGAACGAACTCACTAAGGGCACCTGAACACCACAAAATTGGGGGGGAGGGGAGAAAAAACATTACCAAAGTAATATTCATGTCAGGTTCCTGGTGTTCAGGAATTGTGGAGTGAGAAAAAAAACATGAAAGAACACAAAATATTATCCATCACATTATTAAAACTCAGTAATGTCCGTGTTACCCCTTTATGTGCCAACATCAAAGCACTTAATTTTCTTCCTATTAAATCAAAATTAATCACTTACATGAATGCCACAATTTCTAACAGAGGTTATTGAATTGAGCCTTTCATTAAAATCTGATCTTATTAATAAAACACATTCATTCTGTGGCAACATACTAAAGTGTTACTTGACACTGCTGGCTATAGAGTTAATCCAACTAGTAATTCTGCCAAATCCTTTGGCAATAAAGCCACAGCTAAATATTTAATTCTGTTCACTGACATATTTTAGTACCACTTCTCCTCATGCTTAAAAAAACCCTAACACCTGTAGTTTGGAGCAGACATACCAGCATCCTTTAAGGCAGAACCATTAATTTTATTCTATAAATAATAGTTGCCTGTGATGCCTCCTAAGGCAACATAAAACAAAATTAGACAGTAAAATACATGGTAGATTCCTAACTGAATTACAGATAAACAGGGTGAGTCTTCAGGGCACACCCAAAGGCTGTAATGACAGAGCTTAGTGGACATATATAGAAACAAAGTTCTATATGTAAAAAAACATATTAGTAAGACCGCGCCCCTCATGCACATAACCTAATTGCTCCTAGAAGTACAGAGGATTGGAAGTCTGGAGAAGGTGAAAGTTATACTTCAAACATCTTAGATACAAACCGGCCAGTGAGAAGGGGGAGCACCCCTTAAGTAACCTGGCGCTCCCCCTCCTACTTACAAATCTCGTGAGACTAACCAGTCTCACATTATCCGGGGTGTAGGGCAAAGAGCCAGCCTCACTGCTCGAAGTCCGTGGACTCAGCAGCGGCTGCAGCATTGCCTGTCTAATACCAACTAGTGCTTGAGTGGTCACATTTTGTGTCCTTGATTTTTCTGATGTACCATCTTTATAGGCAGGCCACAATTACAGTAGTCTAGTGTAGCTGTCACTAGACAGATTACGTGCAAGTGAAGAGTGTAATCTAAAACCTAGTGATCACTTAGCCTTTGATAAAACAACAGACTAAATACGATCCTTGTAAAAAGAAAATATGATCCCTCTAAAAAGAAAAACAAAATGTCATGGAGAAAGTTTATGGCTGAAGATTGACTCTTGAATGTCCTTTGATTGACTCCAAAATGAACTTTTAGAAGAGGTACCCGTGTTAGTCTCTGCTAATATACCAGGCCTAATAAATAAATAAATAAATAAATAAATAAATAAATAAATAAATAAATAAATAAATAAATAAATAAATAAATAATAGACAAAAACATTGTGCCACCTTAAGGACTAACTGCTATATTTTAATGTGAGTTAACATACTGTATCTGAAGAAGTAGAATTGTCCACAAAAGCTCACATTAAATATAGCAGCTAGTCTTTTAAGGTGCCACTACCTTTTTGTCCTTTAGATATAAACTTGTTTCTTTCTCTGCTTCAAAAACAACTTGGTTCCTTTCAAAACACACAAATCTAAGGAGCTCAAAAAGTGAAGACCCACCTCCTTGTAAAAGAAGCAACTGAGGCAAGGAAAGGATATTCCTTCTTCCCATCACTGTGAAGCTCACCAAGACAACAGAAGAAGGGATGGGGGAACAATCTCCTTCTTGCTTTACAGTTGCACTTTCTCACTTACTGATAAGCAAAAGGAAGAGGGCTTCTAGACTGGGAGGCTGGCAGAGAAAGAAGCTGGAAATGAGGAAAGGAAGTGTGAAATCCTCCTTAGTCTCACATAATGAAAGAACCATGGGAGGACAAGACTCACCGGCTTGATTGGTCGTAATGCTGACTGCGGCAAATTGTCTTGGGAAGATACTCATATCGGATACTCCATTGACAGCATCTATCTCAAACGTGTAATTTGTGTGAGCCAGAAGGTCCACCACAGTCACAGAGGTATTCGTGAGACCAATCTGACGTGGAAGGAACCTTACATTAGCACTACATGGTTCACATAGCTTGGTGGTTCCCCCACATTTCTTGCATACAATGTTGAAAGTGACATCCTTTCTGCCTCCTGTGTCCAAAGGCCAGCTCCAGTCGAGAATGACTGATGTTTCATTGATATTAGAGATAACATTTCTGGGAGCAGAAGGTGGTCCTGTAGGGTAAATGGAAAGAAATATGCAATTCTTTATTCTCTTTGGATAAAAAACACTCAAAGAAACATTTCTCAATGGTCGATGTGGCATAGTTTTCGTCATCTGCTTCATTAAGCAGATTTGTTTCTAAAGTTTGTTTTTTTTAAAGAAAATACTTGTGCAAAGTAACTACAGTATCTTGAAAGTATGTGTTCCTTTACAGTGGTATTTACAACAATTTGTCACCAAGTACAAATACTCTTCTCAAACACTGATTTGGAAAGATTAGATCAGTTTCAGAAATTTTGGTCTCTTTCAACTGCTACATATGACAGAAAACAGCAGGGAAACAGCAGAGAGAAAAATATATAAAAATTGAGCCATACATTCATTCATACACTTTGATACAGAGCAAATACAAAGCAGATCTTGAAGAAAATGTATTTTTTAATATATAGAAACACAGTTAACCTGTTCATCTAAAAAAATGTTATCTTGGAAGGGTTATGGGACATTATAAACAAAGCTTTGAAGGGAATATATCTCTACTGGTCCTGGTGATTAATGCAGTAATTTTTTTATGTATTTTTAAAAAATATTAAGAGATGTATATTTTTCTCTTCTTTCTTAGTTTTTTTTCCTATGTTATGTTTGTATACTATAGTAATATTATTATTTTTTTTTAAAAAAGAGAAAGGAGTATACCTGAAGTATCATTGTTTCATAACAATGACTGGATAAACACTTTGACATCATCACATTTATCAGTTCCCAGATGCAAATTACTGGGATTGAGGGACTACTACTGTTATTACTGAACAAATAACAGTAGTAGTAGTAACAACAACAACAATGGTAGCAGTGGTAATAGCACATAAAGCACCTTCTATGACAATGGCACCTAACAAAGAACAGAAGCAAACAAGACAGAAAACATGCTCCAAGAAGGCTAGACTCTTAAGATGGAAAACCAGTGGTGTAGAGCAGTGGTCCCCAACCTTGGGCCTCCAGATGTTCTTGGACTACAACTCTCAGAAGCCTTCACCACCATCTCTGCTGGCCAGGATTTCTGGGAGTTGAAGTCCAAGAACATCTGGAGGCCCAAGGTTGAGGACCACTGGTATAGAGGAACTAGGGATTGCAGGGGTGAAGCCCTAGTAGTACTAGGGGCTATGAGATTGCCTGCCACCCAAACTTTATGGAGTGATAATTGTAAATTAACCTTAGCAACCACATATAAAAAAATGTAAACAAAATGTTTTACAGATGGCATTTACCACAAACTAGAATAGCAAAAAAGGGACGTGGTGGCACTGCGGGCTAAACCACAGAAGCCTGTGCTGCAGGGTCAGAAGACCAAGCAGTCGTAAGATTGAATCCACGCGACGGAGTGAGTGCCCGTCGCTTGTCCCAGCTCCTGCCAACCTAGCGGTTCAAAGGCATCCAAATGCAAGTAGATAAATAGGGACCACCTCGGTGGGAAGGTAACAGCGTTCCGTGTCATGTGACCACGGAAGATTGTCTTCAGACAAAACGCTGGCTCTATGGCTTGGAGATGGGGATGAGCTCCACCCCCTAGAATTGGACAGGACTGGACAACAATTGTCAAGGGGAACCTTTACCTTTACCTTTAGAATAGCAAAAATGTTCCCAAATGTTTCCAATAGGTGTTGGAAATGTAAAAAAACATGAGGGAACATATTATCATGTATGGTGGACTTGTGAAAAAGCAAAACAATTGGGTTAAAATACACTCTTGGATTTAAAAAAATAATGAAACTGAATATAGAACTCAAAGCAGAGTTGTTTTTATTATGCCAGAGAATATTAGCAAACAAGATAGCTATATTACATTATATATATTGACGGCAGCTAGAATAGTATGGGCTCAATACTGGAAAAATGACAAATCCCCATTAAAAGAAATAATTGTACAAAAAATCTTAGATTGTGCAGAGATGGATAGATTGACAATGACAATTAAAGGAAAAGAGGATTCGGAATATTATCAAAACTGGAATAAAATGTATGAGTGGCTAGAGCAAAGAAATAAAGTATAGAGACAAATGAGACATGATGTGATATGAACAATTTGATGTACATCCAGTGAACATGATGAATGACAATGGAAATATGTTTTTATGTGTTATAAAAAATAAAATTAAAAAGAAGAAGAAGAGAGATCACCTGCTACTTTCACAGCAGAAATATATTTTTGAAAGGTATCTTTGTTGCAGTGTAAAGTATTTGAAGACACTCTGATCCTGAATAGGCAAATAATTCCCATTAGTTTTACAAAAGGCTCACTCCTCTCTCTCTTTTTTAAAAAAGTATGGTCAGATCCAGCATTTTTGAACTTTCTTGTTGGAATAAATCCCCATTGTAATCCTATAGGGACCATGATGATGAGCCCCTGCACTTCCCATTTTCATAGAATCATAAAATCATTGAGTTGGAACGGGCCTATAAGGCCATGGAGTCCAACCCCCGGCTCATTTCAGGAATTAAAATCAAAGCACATCTGACAGAGGGTTGTCCAATTCTCTCTTAAATGCCTCCAAGGAACTGGGACAGATATACAAACCTGGGGTCCATACCATTCTTATGGCATGGACAAACAAAAGTACTGTTTTGAGCATGATCAGTTTACTCACTCGTGCAAGCCATTGATGGAGGGTCTCTCTCAGATCGGAAGTAATTCTTTTCACACCTGCAGTTTGTAGAACCTTCTAAGTTTGTAGAGCTGTGCGGCGGGCATTTTGCACACTTGACATTACCAGCAAAGGCTTTGTAAAAACCTGGTCGGCAAGCTGTAAAAGAGAACCAATTAATTGTTTACAATCCCTGATATAATGAGGTTTTGACATTTTTCCTGAGAATGGATAAAGACTAAGAGCAGAACGATGTTTAACAGTTCCCTCCATGGAAGTGGTTTTGGAATTGTCTTTATTGAAGTATAACATATGGGGAATCCACAATGTGCAGGGAAAGACAGAAAATGTTGGGGGAAAGTGTCATGTTTCCTTTCCTCTAGGGAATGAAGGCTTTTACTATAAAACAACTACACTTTAAAGGTTGGTGTAATGCTAAAAAAAACACACCTCGTTCTTCCTATATTAAATTAATGGCAGTCCAACCATTAAAAAAAGATTGCCTTAATTTTAATGCATGCCTCAATATTTTCTTAAGATCATTCAATCTCACAGGAGCAAAAGTAGGCAGGGCAATGTCTCACCAAAAGAGCACATGCTTTGGTAGGGTGGCCACATACCCTCTTTTATGAGTCTTCAATTTGAAGGGCTAATGGAGGACAACTCCACATTTTAACTTCTCCTGTATTTCACTGTACAGTCAAAATCTGACTGAACAGTATGTGGCATGCAGATAGAAGGCATAGCAGACAGACATGTCTCCTAGCCACTGACTTCTCCACTTGAGTGTGACTCATGCTAATTCTGTTGAATCATTATCTTCATCATCATCATCATCTTTGAACTGCAGAGCTGAAAGGGACCCTATGGCTCATTGAATCCAGACCCTGTCAAGGAGGCACAACTGGGGGGAATCAAACTCCCAACCTCTGGCTCCACAGCCAGATGCCTAAACCACTGAGCTATCCAAGTTTAATAGTATCACCTGGAGTTTGCAATATAGCAATAGTTTCCATTTAGAAATTATTTTGGAATGTTATGCAAATCAGTGTCCTTTTCCAGCCTTCATTTTGATGATATATGTCTTGTCTTTTTGATGATGGGTAAGTGGGCACCCTATTGTTTGCAGGTGGGAACTCCCATATCCAGTCCCTAGTTAGGGTGGGAGAAACCTGTGTCTGAAATCCTAGAGGGTAGTTTACCAATCAAGGTATATTATACTGAGCTAGGTAGACCAATGATCTGACTTGATAATAAGGTACGTTCATAAGAGGCAAGAAGGAAAGAGGTGCACAGTCAGGGAAGCAAAGAAAAAGAGGAAATGCTAGCTGCCTCTCTCAACAAGTTGATCAAACTAACAGAAGGTAGGTCTTAAGAGTTCTGTAACAGCTGGGAGCAGCATGATGGCCACTGAGCAATAGTTTGCTTCCTAGATCAGGGTGTGTCTGTGTAATGAGTTTGGGAATTTACTTTTTGGACTGTACTTCCAAAAATTACTTTATGGACTAAAACTCCCAGTCCAAAGTTAATTTTTATTATTTGGAGTTGCTTTTTGGATTACATCTTTACTTTTTGGACAGCAAATCCTAGAACCAATGGTGGTGTGTGTGTGTGTGTGTCCAGAAACAATAATCAACCCTACTCCCAAAATATTTCAAAGCTCTGGGTTCCTTCAGGAATTATTCAGTTTCATATCATTAGGAATCTAATGTCTGATCAGGTTGATATACCATTTAATGGGCTTGGCAAACAAATATGAGCTGTTCAAGAATTCAGCTCAAACAATTAAATCCTGATGGGATTTCCAAGTGTTCAGAACAAACAATCCAGAGGCTTTCCCATCCAATTTCTGCAATGGAGAAGTGATATAGAGCAGGAGAGGATGATAGTGGTGAAGGAGAAGGTATAATCTGTAGCCATAGATCATGGGGCTTGCTACCTCTGAATAGTCATACGATTTCTGGAACCTAACAATACAATCATAGAATCATAGAATAGTGAAGTTGGAAGGGGCCTACAAGGCCATGAAGTCCAAGCCCCTGCTCAACGCAGGAATCCTTTGCTGTATTCACAATAAATAGAACTGCCACTTCTGCACTTTCACAGACCTACCTGGTTACATCCTATTTACTAGTTTTTCCCTTAACTACAAACCTAACTCTATGCTTTCTTGCAAAAGATTATCCTTGGTGGATATGGATCTTACTTCTGTTTCATTTCAGCACTAAGGCACCAAAAAAGAGAGTAACAAAGCGGAATGGTGAAATGCTCAACAAGCTCTGAAATTCTATTGTAATAAGAACATAATGGGGTTGTCTGGATAAAAAAAGTGAACATCTCTCAATATAGCAAATTCTAGAGACTGCCAGGAAAGATGTTTCAGTTTGAAAAACTTGCTAGTGACAAACTCCAGGTGATACTATTTCATTAACACTGGCACGTTTAGCAAGTATATCATACTACTTAGTTAGAATCACATACATCAAGTGAATGCATAGTGAGAAGTGTGCGTGACTTAATCCACAAGTAACTGCATGCCACTACCTTGGCAGAGTAACTAATAAGATTAGAGCAGAGTGGGGCAACACATAGCCCTCACCAATGGCCATGCTGGTTAGAACTGTTGGCAGTTGCAGTCTCACAATATAAACATCAAGAAGGCCAATTCTTGCCTTGCTTCGACTAGCCAGTGGACACAGGGCAACAATGCGTAAAACTGTGGAACAGTCTGCTACTCTACTATTTCATAGTAAATTTCTCATTAATGGGTCTTCTTTGTCAAATCGTTTATCTTGATGGAACAGCCATATGCTTCACTAGCCTGTGATAATGACATTGTTGATGAAACAATATGGAGCCCCACACCATTTTGTGTAAGGTGGGATGTAATACATATCCTCTTTAAACATCTATATCTACAGGGCTAGCTCCACTAGCCTCAGAGGGGAGAGGAGTCACAAAAGGACCTGTTCAGTTGGGACATTCTGTTTGGTCTCTTCATTCAGCTATAACTAAGTAATGTTGGCACCTTGGATCTTGTTTGCTTCTTTCTCTTCCTCCACTATCACTTGCTGCCACGCATGCTGTCCGTTTGTATAAAGAGTTCCTGCTGTGCTGTTAAGATACCTGCCTGTATATAACTGTAAATACGTGTAAATACAACTGTCTTGCAACACAAGAAGAACTGGTAAAGTGTCTTCAATAACTCTGCGTTTTTCTACTGTAGCCAAAAAACCCTAACAATATAAGACTGGCACACATAGGGCGAAGATGGAGGAATGGGATGAACCTGCCTATTGTATGTTTCTGTATGCCCAAAGAAGAGCAGTCTGTAGTAGAACAACAAATGCTGCTTGTGATAAGTAAGTTTGTACTCTTTGAATAGCACATTTTTTATCCTAAAATTCTGGCACCCTAGTTCAAAGATCCAGTTGCATCACCTTAATTATGGCTCTTCCAATGCTGATAACTTTCAGGTGGCAGTTTTTATCTGTCCTCCTCCCAATCTTCCAGGCCTTTGACTTATTTTGAATTCTTATCTATTTGACGGATTTAGTTTTTTGTGTTAGTTAGGTTTCAACTTTCTCTTGTTTTAGCTTTCAATTGTATACTTTTATCACTGTAATGACAACTCTTTTGCCTACTGGAATAAGTGCTTGCTTATTCTTAGTTTGAAATACATGTCTGTAAGTAGCTATTAATGAATATATAAATGTGTGAGGGGAAATGAAAATAAGGAAATAGACCTGCCCAATAACTCATTTAATGAAGGCAAGAAAAAGTGAAGCAAAACATTGCAGGAAACATCACAGTAAAGGCAGATTGGGCTATTTATTGTCTCTAGAGGCAAAAACTTAACAATGTCTTTGTGGCTCAGCTACAATCCTATGCAGACAGCAGTTAAGAGGGAAATTAGCTAGTTAGAATCTTGCTGTCCCAGCATGCCTAGTGGGAGGATTCTGATTTGTATCTTCCCCTCAGGCTGTCTTGCACTTCTATCTTCCCATGTCAAGCAAATATAAGATTATTCAGTGCTACAGCCTTCAGGAAAAGAAATAAAAAAGGCAATTATGTTGTAAATTAAAACCTGGAAAGAGGGTGGCATGAAAAGGTGGTCACACTGATATTATTTCTTTGACAAAGAAAGGGTGGGAGAAAGAATCATACTCTTCATTTCAAAAGGTATTTCTTTCCAGGACTGTGAAGAGTGAATTTATTGTATTTATTTATTTCATAGACCAATTGACATTCCACTTTTTGGAGAAAGTTATGGGTTTCACACAGAAGACTACAACAGATTCATTTTCACCATGGTTTCAGTTTACTCAAAATGAGATATGATCAACATTTTAATTCCTTTTAAGAATATGCATAGAGATGGCTGATACTCTTTAAGGATTACAAATTTTTCATAAAATAGGAATAGAGAGATAAGAACTTTGAGAAAGTTACTTTTTGACTACAATCCCAGAATCTCCCAGGCTGCCTGGACAGCAGCAACACTGGCCACATTGATTAGGGGATCCTGAGAAATGTACTCCAAACAAGGTAATTGTTCTGGACTCTGGTCAAAGGAAACAGGATACTGGATTAGAAAGGTCTTTGGTCTGTTCCAGATGGGCACTTTTATAAGTGTGCAGTATGCACTTAAGTTCCACTTATTTCAGCTCCCTCAGGATCGCATCTGGCTACACCTCTTCCAGTCTCCCTTTGGATTATACCTGTTGTAATAACCTCTTTTTTTAACTTTTGGCCCTTTATATGCAGCCGTACCAGCTGTAGCTACAAACCAAGGACATGAAGCAGGACCAGATAAACAAGATTATTTCCTGGATTAGCTATTCAAGGCCTGCTTGTCCGTGCAAGGTCAAAGCAACTGTTTATTCATGAAATGAGCCATGATGTATGATCTTGCAGGAACTCCATTCTTCATGTTCCAAACAGAAATACAATGCTACAAGGCAAAGTTGGCAACATTTCAATGTACTGGAAGTGGATATATGAAGTCATTATGCACGAGAGGCAATGGGCAGCATTTACAAAGTGATTCTCTGCTTCCTTCTATTGTTCCCTTTCTGTTCAATTAGAATGAGGCATGCAGGGAAGGAAAATCATATCTTATTTAAAGGCCAGAATTTGGAAACAAGGGGAAATAACCT